AGTACAAGAATGTGTGGGTGTTTTTCTTTTTTCATTTATGTTTTACTTTTGCATAAAATTACATTTTCCAAAAATTGTAAAAAAAGAAAAAAAAATTTTTAAAAAAAGGATGACATCACGTTTTAAATATGCTAGATCTCTTTTTCCTGCTGAATGGTACTGTCGCATTAAGCCAGCATAGTCAGTCTGACAGAACCACTGGTAGCTACATTTTATAGCACTCCAAATAAAAATTCCTGGAAGATTGGTTACGGTACCTCAACTATCAACGAGAGACACATGAAGCCTATAGCATAACAGAGATATATAATAAATATTTTATTAGTAATTTCTGTTCCTGAATCTGGTCCATTCACTTAATTGGCGAAAAATTCCAAATATGCTCCTTATCTTCCTTGATTTTTTAAACTCCCGAAAGTTTCTCAGAACAATAAAATCAAATTACTATTTTTGATTCTATGAAAATATTTAAGTAGGAAAAAGGCGTTTTCCCCCCCATTATTTCTATATATATCCAATTTTATCCGATAATGATGAACAATACCGAGTCTTAGCATAATTCCATAGAATAACCAATTTACACTAAAAAAAATACAGCTTTTTTAGTTCTTTAAAAATGTTTTATTTTTCAAGCTAATGATCTGATTTCATGCAAATAAAAATTTAAGCGATTCTGTTTATGAAGTTGATTATGATAAGAAAATTTAAGGACCCGGTTTTTTGCACCATTGTAGTATTTATATCAATTTCCGTCGCTGTTGCAGACTCAGATTCAATCCGATTCATATATATTTCTAATCTCAAAGGGAAAATACGATGAATTCAAGTATGATTTTAATGTTAACATCCTTCAGAACATAGTGACTTATGTTTATATAAAATATTTGAATATATTTGAAAGATTTTTTTGAATTGTCATACATTAAAAGAGAAATTTTTTTACAAAAATGTATTTTAAATGTTCTTATTTATATAAATCTTAGTTGAAATTTTTATTAAATATATATAAAATATTATAAATGTCTAAAAATATATATTGATAGGTCTTGATTTAGAAACAGTGTTTCTAACTTCATATATTCCTAATATAAATTTTTGAAATTCTAAAGTGTGATTAATCTGCTAATCTCATTTAGGTTTAAGCTATTTTAGTGCATTTTGTTAATTATGAATAATGTTCAGCTAAATAAGGAAAGGGTGGCGGCTATTTAACGTTGCTAAAAGATTAGAAAGCAGTATTTTTTAATTAATTATTTTTAATTATATATTTTTTCTATAGGAACTAATTTTATTTTTTATTTGCTATTAAAAAGTAGTTATTATTAAAAATTAAACAGTTTGTTTTTTTAGAAAAGACTTTCGAAAAATTATGTTTCATAAAGAAATGCAAAGCAAAAGCTAAAGATAAAAAGGCGAACTTTTTTTAATTAGTGGAAACAAAACAAAACAAAAAGTAACAAAAATTATGTTCAATTCAATTCTACTTTTGATTACTGAAGGGACAATCAATGGGTAATTATTACAAAAACTAAAATTTTGAATGAGAAGTTTTGGAAATCATATAAAATATATTGATCATATAAAATTAGAAAATAAGGGCCCTTAAAAGTACTTAATTTTACATCATCACTATAGTTGATAGGAAAAATTTTTTAAAACAAAGTTCCTTTATCATCTATAACTAGACCATGCATCGAGGGTAGAACATTTTAGAGAGACAAGAAGGGGATTTGTGGGAGGGGGCTATAGGCAAGGGGGATAAAACGTGTTCTTTAATTAATATATTGGTTCTTTCATTGACATATTTTGCCTTTTGTCTAGAATGATACTCCAAGGGGGATACTGCGATTGGAAGGAATTTTTTTCTTCTTTTTGGGGGGGAGGGGAAGAGGGAATAGTTTGAAGGAAACTAAGTAGAAGACTCACACTGACCTTCAAAATCGATAGAATTCAAGAAATTCAGTTTTACTAGTAAGGCATCTGCTTATAGGAACGAAGTAAAACCCTAAAGGAGTCTAAATACCGACTGCAACAGCAACAAATCGCATGTTGCGATGACTTTACGCATGCGCACTTCTTTCATCCTCTTTCTGTTGCAACAACCAGTGATCGCCATCGCACTGGTTTCAAGAATTGGATGGCGTTCAAAATAAAAATTAGGCAGTTTTTAAGGACCGTGGAAACCCTGTTATTCAGCTATGATGTTATTACGACACGCAAATTTCTAATCGCACTATCAAAGTAAATTTCTAATCATGCACTTTTGATACAATTTATTTCAGTACAGTTTTACAGTAAATTCAAGTTATTTTTCCATCGTTTCTTGGCAAGGAATGTGATTTGGTAAATGTGATAATGAATTGTCATTTGGTCAAATACCGAATACTAGGCGAAAAATAAGCCGAATACCATATACTCGGGGCCAAATAGCAAACTTTTTTTGCAGCATAGATAGCAAAACTAAAACCAAAATTTTAATGCTAACAATAATATTTTCTGATAAAACGTATTCATAAAAAAATGTTAAAAAATAAGGCCTATCAGAAATGCTTTTGAAAATGCTGCATTATCATAATAACTAAAGATTATATATATATATAAAAAAAAAAAACAGAAAATAAAAATCGATTTTAATTCTTGAAGTTTGAGATGGAGAAATCTTGGGATTGGGAAATCTTGGAATTGAGAACATTCAAGTTTTCCAATCACCATATATTCAAGAAAAAAAGAATAAAATCTAACAGAAATGCTTTTAAAAACTGATGTGCTATAATAAAAATATCTATGAAAAAAAGTTTTTTCTTCTTCAAAAAAAAAAAAAAGCTAGATGGAAACAAAAACAATTTTTTTTATATTTTTAAAATAAAAATCTTATGCTTAAAATTCCAATTAAACTTTGTCACAGTGCCATATTTTTGGAAGAAATAAAAATGACGTTAAAATAAAGTTTATTAGTAAAGTTTATTTTAAAAAATGCTACGTCATGATAAAAATGCCGATAAACAGAAAAGTTTATTAAAAAGAACAAATGAATAACAGAAAAACAAAATGTTCTTAGTTCCTAAAATAAAACTTTAACATTGAAAATCACAGTTCTCTATATTACAGTACAGGGAAAAATTGACAATAAATTAACAGTAAGAGATGTTCCATTAAAATGCTGTGTTATAATAAAAACAGCAAAAATGAAAAAAATAATCCTTCTCAATTTTTAGAACTAAAAGTGTTAAAAAAATGATGAAATTGACTTGCTTGCATATAATTTTTAAAAAAAGAAGAAGTACAAAAACGTGTTATTTGAGTAGAAAGTAATATAGTTTCAATTCATCAAATTTCGTTTTCCCATTTGTCTCCTAGAAAATAAATTTGCAAGCCATATTGCAGAAACATGATTTTAAAAACTTGTGTAACAACTTTTTCTTATAATATACAACACTATAATATAGTTAAAAATATAATTTTATATTATTCTTCATATCTACACAAATTGCAAAAAAAAAAACACAATTAGAAAAATACTTTTCTAAAAAATACTCTGCCGAATATTTGGCCAACTAAATTTTTGACAAAAGGGCCAAATACTCATTGCATCCCTGAGTTTAATGTAATGTTATTGCAGCCTGAGAAATTCACAAAGTGGAGGGAAACGTGAATTTTTAAACTGCTCACTGCTTGTAATTTTAAATGCAATTTTTTGTTGCTTATGTGATCTTTTTCAGAAAAAAAAGAAAGCATTTACTATGTGAAAAATATAATAATTCAATAAAAAGAAATAATAAAGTACATTGCCAAATAAGTTTTGATTTTTATTTAGAACTATAACAGCTTTGTTTTTATTTTAGGCTTTTGTTTAAACCTTATTCAATTAAAATATTTAATTTGAATTTATATCAATTAATACATATAAATTTTTTTCCCACTTTCATTCTGTAAGCATGGCATTTTTTTTTTTTTTTTAGTTTGAATTTATTTTAAAATAAATTTTTGTATTGTGCGAAATGATAAAAAAAAAATTAAAGTATTATTTTTTGTATTTTTTTTTTTATGAATTCTAATATTAAATGACTTTAATTTTTACAAATATATTACTATGTACATTAATAAAAAAATTAGAGCACTAATGTTTAAATAAATATTACTTTATATGCTATCAACATGCCTAAATACATGTAGGGCTCTTCATAGGTGAACCTACAATACAAGTGGGTCATCACTCAAAAAGGTTGTGTACCCTTAATTAGAATACATTTTTTAAATTAAAAGAATAATTGTTCGGTCAAAGGCAAATGAACATATATTTATTGAATCTATTCTGACAAACAAGTGCAATAAATTTCATTACTTGATGACATAAATATTAAACTTCTAATAAGAATCCCATTTTTTTTAAAAAAAATAATAATGTCTGATAATCCGTACATAATGAATCAATTTTTGATAGCCCCGGTGCATACTTTAAAAATAAAAATACCAGAGCTTTGCCTTAAAAAAAGGAACTGATATTTATTGAAATAAGAACAGAGAAACCAATTCAACTAGACTTGCGAAACTATGGGTCCTGTAGACCCCAGATGTTCATAGTGGCAAGCAGGAACCTAAAAAATAAACCATCACAGAAATGCAACGCCCCTCCGTTTAAATCACTCAACATTTTCGTTTTTTCAAATATTTTCGCAAGTTCAAAAACCTTTGGCGAATCTAGTTGGCATATATAGATACCAATACAAAAATACCCCCATTCACTGTTACTGATTACAAAATACTTAACTACTTTTATTTCATTTGTTCTGCTTAATATTCTTTCGACTAAAAAAATAAAAATTTACATACTTAGTTGACTTATTTTGCAAATTAAATATACTATTAACAATTTTCAGTATGCTAAAAAATTATGTTCAGTATTATAAAAAATTATGCTAAAATTATTAAAAATCATGCTAAAAAATTAATATTTCAAATAAATGAAGTACTCTTAAGCAGTTAACAAATACATAACTCACCTTCCACTGCTATGAACAAAATAACAGAACTATTGGTACTAAACACATGATGAGTATTATCAGTATGATTATCAGATAAAATCAGGGAACAACAAGAATGCATTTATCTCCAAAAGATTTTAATTCATGAAATGTATTTCGCGCTGGCAGAGACTAGAAAGGGATAAGGACTTTCAACTTTCGACCATTGGCTATCGAAATGGGCTACAGGTGGCAGACAGCCGCAGAACTCTCTACTCATGGCAATACTCCGCACGCTTTCGCCACTAGCATGTGGAGAGTCGTAAACAAAGGAAGTACATTAATTTCTGTCTTGATTGTCAAATAGATATTAAAATCTTTTAAGTTAGGAAACTATATGGAACTGAAAACTACATTAAACAGAGTTCTAAAAGAAAGCGTCAAGGAAATTTTGAAAAATAGTTTTAATAATTAAATACGAAAAGGAAAAGTATCGTAGTACAAATATCGCAGTATCTTCTCCCTAGATGGCGCATTCCAGCGTTGCGATCGCCTATTGACGAACTAGTATTCGTTTTTTTGCACAGAGTGGCGCCCGTGTCAGCAGCATGCTTCTTTCTTCCATGCATGATGGTTGACTGAATGTAAACAATAACAAGCTTCTTAATAAGCTTGTTATTGTTTACATGCTTGTTATTGTACTAAACAATAACAAGCTTCTTAAGAAGCTTGTTATTGTTTCGAGGCCTGTTTACACTGTCCAATTTCTTGAATCCGAGAAATTGGACGGATTTCTCAGTTCAAGAAATTGGATGATTCGTTGACACCATCCAAGTTTGAGCTCAAACCTCGCAGCCTTCGAACGAGCTATAGGAAGAGAATAATGACGTCATTTTGACGTCACGTTTCTACTCCTAGGGAAAACCTGGAGCTCAAACCTCGCAGACTTCGAACGAGCTAGGAAGAGAAAAATGACGTCATTTTGACGTCACGTTTCTACTCCTAGGGAAAACCTGAAACCTCGCGCTTTCGAACGGATTTTGCTAACGGGCTGCGATCTTCATTTTTCCTCCCATCTATCGGAAAGCTTTCACCTAACAATTTGCTGGTGAAAGCGATTCGAACGTTCGAATAGGATGCGTTTAACGCTGGGATTAAATTAGATTTCCGATTTCAAAGATAATTTTTACCCAGATATTTTATGATTTTTTATAATCATTTACCTAGATATTTTATGAATATATTTCAGACATAATTTTTTCTCTCACAAATTTATTATTTCATATAATAAATGGATTAAATAATTAGTTTCGGTTTCTAGCAGAACTTATAATAAAATCTATAATAATCTTGCACGACTTTAAATAAAACGTGAACATTTTTTCTGTTCCAAATTTTTGTGTATTCTTAGCCATAATATGTTTAGTATAATTATTGCCATGTTTTTATTAACTTTTATTTTAATTACCTCGTAATATTTTCAAAATATCTGCAGAAAAAAAATGGAATTTTTTTCT